CACATCGACTTTCTATGCCCGTTTCAGACCCCAGACAGGACACTGATACGACGGAACCAAATGCTCCGAGATGATGATATATTTAGCAAAAAAACAAACAAACAAAGGCGGGCGGCTCCTTTCCATTCCATTCACCTTTGACCCGGATACGTAACAAACGGATACTGTAATATTCAGTGAATTTAACTGCATGGAAAATAGTGTTTTAAAAAATAACAGGTCGCATTAGCAAACGTTTAGGTGTCTTCGATAAACTAGGCTTGGGCTCAAAATATAGGGGGGGGACAGCGTTTCAGCACATAGAGTGGAAGAAAAATGCAACGTCACAGGGGACTCGAAAACCCTGGAATAAATATTCCCCATCCTCAACCAGGCGGGAAAAAAGAGGGGACTGTAAACTAGCTTGAATTTCAGCCGTCTCCACGAGTCGCAAACTCCTCTTGCGACTCGAGGAGACGTCTGAAATATCAGGCTGACTGTAAACAGTATAGAAACTACTACGACTGTGAGTTTTGTCAACTCAAATCGAAAGACAGGAGCCCCTTAGATATTCTTAAGTTCACAGAGCCTAGTCTGTAAGTAATTCATGTGAACCTCAAGAAAGCAAAGCGCCTCAAGTAAGGTTACATATGACTATTTATTGGCTTGACATGAGTTACTTAATTACCGACTTGGCTTATTTAAAGGTAGGTAGGTACTTTATTAAATACATTGCAGTATAAGCTGAATTGCGTATTTACATAATAGCAATAATTGTAAAAATGAGTAATAATTGTAATAGGTAAGACTAAAAACGTATAATAAGAAACCTAAAAATTATTTACAATTCTGCCTGAGGCCATAAAAAAACTGTTCTTAAATATATTTGTCTTGCAACGCGGCAAAGTGAAAGAGCGCGCGTGCCTTAGATTATAGTTGCTCTTACAAAGAGGCGGCAACAACTTTCTTAACTTGTGGTTCGGGTCGCTCATTATGCTTTCAAACTCGCGCGTGCAAATGTTGTGGTGATGCTCCGCAACCGTTGGTAAACTCATAAGCGCTAAAGCTTGCTGATATTCTATACCAGGACATATGATTCGCATTGCTCTTTTCTGAACGCGTTCTAATTCTTGCGAAAGGTAGGCTGGTAGCACGTGATAGAAAACTGACCCAGCATAGTCAATGACAGAGCGCACGCATGTAATGTAAAAAAAGCATAAATCTTTCTGTGGAACGCGAGCTCTTTTTAGCTAAACAAGAAAATAGAGCCTCTTAGCTGCCTTCATAGTAACTTCCGTGATTTGCGCATTCCATGTCAAGTCACCAGAGATAGTAACACCTAAAAGTTTAGCATCTTTAACTAATCTGATGCACTCCTCTCCTATGACTACTGGAGGAAAGTCACAATCTGATGTAAAACTAATGCGGAGCTCCTTGCATTTGTCTCTGTTTAACTTGACTCTGTTTCTGATTGACCAATTTACTATCTCATTTACAATACCTTGAGCCTCGCTATGCTGTCCTTTCTTTATTACCTCTGATGTAGTGGTATCGTCTACATATTTCCAAATAGAAACATTACAGTTAAATCATTTATCATGATCAAAAAAAGCCAAGGGCCTAGTTTGGTCTCTTGCGGAACGCCCAAAGGTACTGTGTCCCATTCGGATACACAGCCTTCAGAGAGTTTGATTCTCTGTGAGCGAGCTGATAGGAAATCTATTATCCAATTAATGACGCTAGGTGCGATGTCAAGCGCGCATAATTTCCTTACTAAGATACTACGGTCAATTAGATCAAATGCTTTCTTGTAATCAAACAGGAGTGTCTTGATAGTCGAACCGTTTCCATCAGTCCCTTGAGACCACTCGTGGAGCATCTCCAACGGGGCAAAAGTTGTCGAAGACTTCGGTATTGCATTAAACTGGCTTGGGTCCTGAGAGCGCAGTACAGATGGCTTTACGTGCCGTCTGTGACGCCAAAGTCCTCTGCGACCTTAGAGATACTCGGTGTTAACGATCTAGGCCTCAGATCTTTCTTGATCTCCTTAACAGGCTTGGTTTTGGGTAAAGGAGTGACGTCGGCCAATTTCCAGGGTCTCGGTGGCTGCTGTTCTTTGAAAGAGGCATTTAGAATGATTGAGACAGGATAGGCGAGAAATTCCGCATACTCCCTTACTATCCAATTAGGAATACCGTCCGGACCGCCTGCTTTGGCTGCATTGAGATGAGAAAGTCTCTTGTATACGTCATACTCCGCAACCACTAGATGCTTTGGAGACTGATCTTCTAGAGGGAGCTTGGGAATCTCGTTAGACAGGAGGTTCTCTTCAAGAGGCTCTGACAAGGCGGGGTTGATAAGGTTAGCAATCTCGCGCATGGACGACCCCTCCAACTCATCGATGTCAAGGTAAGAGATCAGGTTGCTCGAGGAGGATTGCCGGGCTCCGATGAGTCTCTTTACTTCCTTCCACCAGGACTAAGGGTCGCTCTCCTTCATTTGATTGATCTTTGTTTCATACAACGTTGCTTTGCAGCATTTGCGCATTTGACATGACATACTGCACCGACATTTCAGACCATCGCAGAGCCGTAAATGGTTAACCGCCAAATGATTAACTTATGAAAAACAATTACAAGAGGTAGCTGTGTGAGTAAAGCTTGCAAACCCCCCTCCACGCGAACCATTTTAATATATTTTGAATTTAGAAGCAAGCCTTCACTCATTGCTGTCATTTGCATGGACCGTCACACGCCCAGCAAATTATTTGCGACAAAATATTGTTTTCTCATACTCGGAGATGATAGCAGTTTCTTTTTCTTAATCATTTCTTTATTTTTCGTTTTTTTTGTTATTTTATTATTATTAATTTTTACAAAAACTATGTTATTATTGTCATTTTATTTTATTATTTTTTTTTTCATTAAAATTATTTTTATTTTTTCATGTTCCGGGATGTTCCGGAATGTTCCGTGTCCCGGGTTTTATCGACGCCCCTAAAGTACTCTGCTTGCAGAATTTAATACACCTAAAATTGGGCCTGATCTCAGGTTATCGTCGTCATTGTACTACGAGGTTTAGCGAGGACGTCCTGGTAGTGGAAACAAGTTATCAAATGTTAGAAGTTTTAGCATTTTGCGATCGGGAGAGGGCTTAACCTCCTCCAATAAAAATAACAGTGCTAACTCTTCTGGCAAATACAAGTGCAATGAAGAATTCTAGGTTTTCTATTTTTTTTTTTATAATAAGCGAATATAATCAAATCTCGTACTCGTAGTTGTTCTCCTCCTCGAATCTAAAGTTTTCTAATACCAACTTTGTTCGATTTATTTTAGTGTGGCCAGGGTTGATTAAGTTGTTTCAAAACCACCGCAAAATCTGTTTAAAAACCTTCTTTTATGTTCTTTGAGGTACCCAATTTATTAAGCAAACGTCCGGCAATGGCTACTCAATGGCTACTCAACTGACAAGAATTTTTTTAAATGATCTTAGTCCTTTTTTAGCCTAGTTTGCCGGCTAGAGGCCGATGGAGGCTTTCGCGTGAGAAAATTGATAAACCCCTATGCTTTAAAACAGAGTGCTTGTGAGACGGGTGGATCGCCTTGTGGTGACAAAGGAGTCTGCATCCCCATCTATCAAAATAACAGCGTACGATGCCATTGCGACGAAGGCTATGCTGGAATACCTTGCAGTAAGTAAAAATATGTTCTCTTAATACTGGCAAGAGGGGTAGTTATGATACATGGGGTATCCCATGGGAACGAAACAAATCTGTTGGAACTCTTGACAGTTTGAGACACTTTATTCCGCTGTTTATTATCTTACTGAGCACATGTTGATTTTTGAGCCAGCTCTACATAAATTATCGTATTGCTGTGTGGGGCCATGCTCAAACATATCTGAAAACGCTCTTACTACACTATGCTCCATATAGATCGAGCGGCTCGGTTATCCAAATTTTTTGATATTCTCCGACTGACGAAGTATAAATAATGCAAGTGTGTGTCATCATGCATGACGTCTTCAATAACTTCATAACTCTTTACCTGGTTAATATTTCTACTAGCCCCTTACTTGATATTGACAGGTATGTGCCCTTGAACAGGGTATGGTTTTCAGGGTCTTGAGCCTTGACCGGAGTATACAATTTTACTATTCAGCGTCTTGAACAGGGTGCCCTTGAGTGTGAATGTAGGTTATGAGTTGCCTACATTTCGGTACTAAGAATCTTTTTCCAAATAATCTAATTCCATGATGTTGGTCTGGAAAAAAAGAATTAATTCTGTGAGCAAGACGAAAATAATCAGGGCCTGTGGTCATCTGTCTGGTAAAGTCTGGTACTCTTTTAAAATGCCGCAAATGGAGCGATTTTGTTTCTGTGGGATACCGCATGCACCATGGTACACAGTAGCAGGAAAACAAGAAAGTAAGAAAAAGAAAAGGAAAAAAAGCACAACAAGACCAGAAAATATAGAAGAAAATACAATCTAAGTTATCAAAGTAAAAGATTATAAAATTTATGTATCTTGTCTTAAACAGGGTAGCGAAATGAACAATTTTTGTCTTAATCGGTCAGGGTTTGAAGGCCTCGGCGGCACATCTCTACCAAAATTTCTTTTGAATACCCCCGGGGGGGGCGGAACAGTATTCCCCAAAGTATTCGACTGTATATTACACGACCTTCTTTTACTTATTTTGAAATCAAGGCATACTTATGTTGACACGTCCACTTTAATACATAAGTAAAGAAAGCTTTCATAAAACTAACTTTAGTAATCTTTTATAATAACCGGAGCCGATTAAGTAATCGGCTCCTGATAATAATCATAATAACGACAATAATAATAATATAATAATAATAATAATAATCTTTCATTGTCACAACTTACATTGTATCTTCTATATTTTCTAGTCTTGTTGTCCTTTTTCCTTTTCTTTTTCTTACTTTCTTGTTTCCTACCTCGATTAGCTTGTTACAAGCTAAAAGGATATTTGAAATTCGTAATTATGTAAACGTATGAATGAACAACAAGAGAATAAAAAGTGAAAACAGTGGTAAGTTCAGTAATTTTAAGGTTTTGTATTTTGTTTCAATAGAACCAAAGAGCTGTATTCAGCTTCTGCAAGATGGTTTTAATTCTGATGGACTGTACACCATCAATCCAGATGGCGGCAAGCCAATTCAAGTGCTGTGTGATATGACCACAGGAGGCGGAGGATGGACGGTTTTTCAAAGACGCTTTGACGGTTCTGTCGATTTTTTTCTGGTCTGGGAACAGTACAAACACGGATTTGGAGACTTGAATGGGGAGTTCTGGTTTGGAAATGACAACCTGTACCGTTTGACAGCCGCTTATGATGTGAAGTTGAGAGTTGATTTGCAGGACTTTGAAGAAAACAAATTTTACGCTGAGTACGGGACTTTTAAGGTGTCTGATGAAGCAGATAGATATCGGCTTCTGATTAGTGGATACAATGGTAGTGCTGGTGACTCAATGGCGTCCAGCGGAGAAACTACAAAGTAAGAATATGGAAAACCTTTTTTGATGGTTTATCAGTACTGTACTGAACAAAACCACACTGAAAACCATGCCTTAAGAATACAATCTAAGGCACAAATTTAGTTACCGGCCGAAATTAAACTCGGATCGAGTGAAAAACTGCTACTTTAATTGCCTCATTTTTAAACATGACCTAGCTTTGTAATTTGAGTGGCAAACTGAACGCGTTGCAGGCGTTAAACTAAGAATGCATAGGATATAAAAAGCCCGGGATAAAAATCCCGCCTTGTGCAAGCGTGTTACTCCGTGTCTATAATATCGAGCACCTGTCTTCCAACACGCACTCTCCCTATAACTTAGCGACGACCTGGAGCGCTTGCAGAAGCCAGCAATCTCTATCTTTTCTCCAGGATTGCCATATTTGCAAAATTTGTAATTATATCACATTAACAGCCTTAAGGGCAGACGTAGTGGACTGTATTCGAAGCTATTTGAGTCTGTCCTGTCTAAACCTGTTCATTAATCATGTCATTTGCTGCCACCCCAGCGTGTTTCCTGCTATAGGGGCACGCCTTTTTAGTGAACGCGTGCCACGTTCACAGACCGCATCCATAACACCTTAATCCGAGTAACGTGACGTATTGTTATAGCTTGTGTCAGTAATATTTTGATAGTTTTTAGTTTATAGTGCCATAGTTGATACACAGTCATTCATATCTTGTTACGTTTATCGCTATCATTTTTATATACAGTTTAATACAATATCGATACATATCAATATGGGTTTAACTATTATTCGCATCGTTGACTTATTAATTTAATGCTACATACTTTCTCACACAGCAATCGGCAGTTTACCACACAAGATCAAGACAACGATCACGCCGGTAACGTCAACTGTGCTATCAGATATAAAGGAGCTTGGTGGTACGACTCATGTCACTGGTCCAATCTCAACGGGCTGTATCATGGTGGACAACATGAGTCATTCGCTGATGGGATGGAGTGGTTTACTTTAAAGGGCCATTATTACTCTTTTAAACGCACTGAGTTGAAAATAAGACCCAACATTTGGTGAGTTCAGGATTTCAATCCGACTGGATCAAGTTGTTGTAGAAAAGTGATAGAATGCAGTGACAATGTTGATACATGCGGCGCGTATTGTCCCGGCATGACTCTGTTATAAGTTTGTTGACAGCATGGTCTATTTTCTTGATATATCAGGGGCACCCAACGTCAATTTTCGGAAAATATCTGTTCGGAAGACGATTTGAGATCTAGAATTTTTGGAACATTTGTTGTAAAATTTCTTGCTTGCCTGCCTCTCCTAGGATTTTCGAAAATCTAAAAAATGGTATAATTGCCCATTTTTAACGGATTTCTACCCTAAAAAGGTCACCTAGAATTTTCAGGAGCCTTTTTTCTGGCTGAAAATTTCGAAAAGGTAAGTTTTGATCCCTACAATTTTCGGATCACTAGACTTTCAGCTAGGAAATCTGAACTGATGAAAAATTTTTAGGGGATAAAAATATGCCTATATCTACCGTTTAAATACTAAAATACGTTCAACGATGCATTGTTATGTGGTTTTGAACTATATTCTAGTTGGGTGCCCCTGATATATCAGGAGAAACAACAACCAACAGCAAATAGTTAAGGGGAAAACAAAAACTCAGGCAGTTTCATCACAACAATTTAGAGTTCTTGGCACTGTTTCAAAAATTAGACTGGATTTCTACCGCCGTTTTGTCGTGACCGATGAGTTAAGGGGTGGGTGTCGATAGTAAAACAGCCGCATTGCCAAAGGGGAGCATTTTCTAATCACAGATCTCTTCTCCGCCTTGGAAACTGCAATATTTCGGCATTTGACATCAGCCCGTATTACTCACCATTTTTCGCCCACGTCAGGAGAAGGATAAACTAGCTATTCAAGCCTTTCAGTTATCTAACAATTATGAAATGAGGCTGGGTAAGAAATGATCATGAAGAATTATACAGATTGAGGGAGGGGGGGGGAGGGGGTGTTATTCACCGGGGAGAAAATAGCCTTCGTCCGAGATCTGCACAATTCTTCATATCAATTGAAGGCCAAATTCAATAATTGTCTTATTATTCATTCCAAGTTCTTAACAATTTTACCCCCTCGTATACTTTTTTAAAAACTTTTGCCTGTTTCTGGGCACAGTTTCAGAATATGAGATGCTTTTTCCTTGCAGACACTCTTAAAAAAGTGATGAATCACATCCATCGGGCAATATCTTTTTGCATCAGTTGTAAATCAGAAATTCAGTTATAAACGAAGTTGCGATTGTATATTGGGGCAATATACCATCGTATCGATGGGTATGTTGCTCACATCTTCCAAATTTGGTCAGCGGTAGCTTGGTATGAAGATTAGCCTGGTAATTTAGGCCAATCAGAAACAGCCGAATGTCTTGAATGAATAATAGTTGGTAATAAGCACTTGTATGAATAAAGGATGAGTTACAAGTGTCAATAACAATTCAAAGTAGGTTGGGTTTGATCGTCCGGGTGAGCGTAGTCCTGAATAGGACCGTTGTTGTTGACAGTGACGGACGTTTCGACAACCTGTGCGGTAGTCATCTTCAGAGTCAAAGTGAGTTGTATCACGTCAGTTGATGGTATTATACTCTGGTTATTGATCTGATTGGTCAATTACGTCGCGATGTTATTGGTCCTCTGTCAGTTAAGCCGTGATGTTATTGGCTATGAAGGCTCGTAATCAGTAACTAGTGCGTTTCGATCCGTCTATTGTCACAGTTAAACAGTCGTCTATTGTTAGTCAAATTGTCAGTTCTCCAGTCGTTCTCTCGTAGTTAGTTTTGCTTGATCTCTTCAATAAGTCGTTTGTACGGCGCTGGTAACTGTTGGCAACGATGCAGTGGCGTTTGTTCTAAGTTAGTAAACCAGCTTTCTAAAGTAAGACGTTGATAGTAGTCGGTAGAATACGTTGTACATGTCGCAGAGTCCCAGTCAGTTTGATGTTTCGTCTGTAAATGCTGCTCAGCAATGTGATTGTTGACGTCATCACTGTCCTCTGGTTTGTCTTTGTCCTTGACATTAGTATGCAGTCGCTGTAAAGTGGTTATCGGTTTGTGTGCAACACGTATATTGTAAGGTTGTAATGTACGTGTAATAGTTTCAGAGGTGCCTCTGATGTACTGCATAGTCGCTGTCGTAACAGGGCCAGAGTTGGTCTGAGTGTTGGAATCAGTGTTAGTGTGAGTGTTCCGTCTAACAAAGTCCGTGTTGTAATTGCTCTTCCTAAAAACGTTGTTAAGGTAATCTGTCTCGTCTTGTAGGCTGTCAGGTGAGTCGCAAACTAGTTGCGCTCGTCTCGTCAGAGTCCGGATAGTTGTAGCCTTGTGAGAGGTCGGGTTGTACGAAGACTGGTCTAGTAATCGGTCGGTATGTGTTGGTTTCCTGTAAATAGCCGTTTGTAGTTTGTTGTTGTCGCGAGTGACCAAGCAGTCTAGAAAAGGTATCTTACCATTTTCTTCGATCTCCTTGGTGAGCTGTATGTCTCCGCTCTGTCTGTTAAGGTGTTCGTGAAAATCGTCGATTCCGTCTTTAACAAGACAATTCAGCAATTCAGTTGCTAAGGCTCAGGTTTCCTCGATTAGCGTGTCAAATGCTTCATAGTCCGGGAGCATATGTACTCCCGTGGGCATTTCTTGAAGAAATCAAGCAACTAAGCTAGTTGTGTTCAGGGGACCTAAAAGAACAAGAAAAACGAATTTGTCACTTTTGCAACCTGCATGGAGGCTTTTTTACTGAGTATTTTAGAACACAACGTCAAACGCCCTGCGTGCAAACGAGGCTGAGGATAAAACTTTATCATATCTTCCATAAACATGGTTCAATTTTCCACCTATTATCAGGGTGTGTTAATTAAAAGATTAAACGAGACTTACCTGTAAGTTGAAGTTTGACTTTAATTCAGTATCTGTCACCAAGCGCTGAGGGATTACCCATCACTGCACCCCAGCTAGCCTGCGCAGCAAGCGTTTCCTCGCGAGGTTCGTCTACACAGCTGAGAAAAGAGCAAAAAAAAAAAAATGAATGACGGGGGAGGGGGAGGGGAAAGAAGGAACCATCTGAGGCATCAGTATACAGAGCGATGTCAATCAATTAGGTATAGGTAGATTGTTCGTTGCCTGTTCTTTAAAACGTTCAAGGATAAAACATCTCATTACTTGTACCTCAACTAATTTAGCCTGGGTATCAGGCATTTCTGGGGAAAAGGGGAAAGATGGAAGCGAAAAAGGGAGAGAGCTGAAGGAGAGAAACGCCTGACACAGATGCTTTTACGAGAGCCTTCCACCCCCACACAGCATGATTCGATACCATCCAATCAAAATCACTTCCGGTCATTGGGTTGTCGGCTTCATGTGTCAAAAAGCTCGCCTAAAATAAATCTCACTGTACGGTCTGGCCGAGTTCCGGTGCTTGTGTTGCTACGATTTTTCTTTTTCTGGAACCTCCAATGAGGAGTTTTCGAATACTTGTAATGTAAAGCCTGCGGTTTTTGAGGAATTATAACATGTTTTAGGAATTGTGCTAGTGTAAGATCGTCAACGCTCTGTTTGTAAATAAACGTGTGCCCGGAAAATTGTAAATTTCTTTTGTTTACAGAGTTACATCGGGCGCTTGTCTGGCAGCTAAAAAGCTGATGTTATCCCTCGTATTCTCGGGTGGTTGAAAGGAGCTGCAACAATAAATAGGAAGGTGCGATGGTGAAACACCTATGCCTAGAAATGATCAAGCAGCAGCAAATTCCACCACTTCACGGAGAGCTCGTGAAAGCTGTTACAAGTTCAAAAAGAAGTGAGAGCCTGTAGCAAAGGTCAATCCCGTTGGCGAAATATGATGGCGCCCGCTTGAGCTTAAGACATTTCAAAAGTGAGAAAATTTTGGACGAGGAAGCGAACGAATTCCAATCACGTACGCTATCGTAACCACCACAAGCAAAGTCAAGCTTTTTAAAAGCATTGGTGCTGTCGGCTATCTCAATACACGGCTACCTCGCTCTATTTTCATTTACAGTAAAAATACCCTTTTAACGGCATGATGTTGTAAATCAGAACTTAGATATCTGAAACACTGATATCGTCTTCTTTGTCCCGGTCTTGTGAAACCAATACTCGGACATAGTTTCGAAAGAAGCTGGTATATGAGGCTTTTCCATACTCCGAGAACATCTTTCCTTTAAACCACGAGGTCTTGAAAACACAATTCTTGCTCGGGTTTTATTTTTATTCCAGGAAAGAACTTGAGAGCGCTCTCTAGAGCCTTTTTGAATTCCTCTCTGCGTCTCTATCCATAAAAGTATCACATACCGGTGACATGAAATCAAAACATCTATGAAAAATTTCAATGGCTTCTCCTTGCCGATCGCTCTGCCCGTATTTTGTTGTTGTTGTTGTTGTTGTATTTACTTGCGTCGGTGACGTCAGGGAGTATTGTGTGTTATCCAATCACTGCCACATCCAGATTTTGGATGTGTCACACGATTTCCTGAATGGTTTTGTGTCAGGCCTTCCTTTCTCTTCTCCCCCTCCCCCCTCCTCCATCTAAAATCTCCTCTCCCCTAGCCCCTTAAGAAGGCCTGATACTCAGGCTACAACTAATTTAACATTTCTGATTGAATGTAAAAGGTGTAAAAACAATATATTCAGTGGTGAAACTAAACGCACACTCCGCGAACGTTTTGTAAAGAACATACAGGCAAAGAACAATCCACTCCAAGCTAACGCCACAGCAGCAGTCCCTTTGCACTTTAACCCACCTGGCCACTCCATCACAGACATACTCCATCATATGACGTCAACAATCACATTGCTGAGCACCATTTACAGACAAAACATCAAATTGACTGGGACTCTGCGACATGTATAACGTATTTTATTTTATGGCAGAGTCTGTTTTCGCCATGCGATTGGTCAATTTGCGGTCCGTAACTTGCTATACGGACCAAAATTTCAAAGAAAATGCTCATTTCGCAGCTCTAAATCTCTTAACCTCGGAAAAAAAGTTGAAATTAAGTTACACGACGTCTATCAACTTTGACGACTTAGATTTTGACTTTGTCCTTCAACATTTTAAACTGTGTTTATTTGTGAACGAAGGCGATGAAGAAAGTAACTCGTAATCTTATCGAAGAGGATCTAGTCAGTGTTTGAAAATTTTATCGTAGTACACAGTTAAGAAGACGAAAATCGACTGGCATAGATTCGAGATGTTTTGCCTAAGAGAAAATGAGTAATTCCTTCGACAAATATGATTACAAACATGCCTGCACCTGATCATCTTGGCGAGCTTCTTTGTCATTTGCAGTGTTTTTCCAAAGACAAACAAAAGAAAGATAGAAGCGACTCCGAGCCAGACACGATGTCCAGCTTTCAAAAGACTCCAGCGTCACATTGGCGAGTGACTACTTACAGTGCTCTTAGGTTTGACCGAATATACTTAAAAATATGTCTGTAAACCCTGAGGACTGGGATGTTGACTTTGCCTTTCCAGATTTTAACCCAACTTTGTTTGAATGAAAACGAAGCTGATGTAGAAACTGAATCGTAACCTTTCCGTGGAAGAAAATATGGTCCGTGTTTGAAAATTTTAACGCAGATCACGCTTGAAGACGAGAATGAACTGGCAGAAATTCGAGAGGTTTTCCCCAAAAAATTAACGAGCGAATCCTTCGACAATGACAACAAACTTACCTTGAAGAGCTTCTTTGCCTTTTGCATTTTTTTTTGTTTACAAGGACCAACGGAGGAAAGATGAAAACGAGTTCGAGAAAGACACAGTGCCCGGTTTCCAAAATACTCCAGCGTTACATTAAAGAGCTAAAACTTACAGCGCTCTTAGTTTTGACCAAATAAACAACATGGCGAATTTTTTTTAACTTTTTCGGAAACCCTTTGTTGTGTGCTATTGTTTTCGTGAGCCAATGAAAACTTTCTTTCTTTACGACTGTCAAATGATTGTCAAATCGCGCGTCCTGCACTTGTTTCCGGTCCCCCAAACTGATAATAAACATCTTATTAGCCTCGTTTTTTCGGTCCGTACTGTAAATTACGGATCCTCGTTTTTTTCCATCGATTTAAATCGGTGGAAAAAAACTCGGTCCGTAGTTTACAGTACGGACCGAAAACTCGGCTAATAAGATGTATCTACCGACTTCTATCAACGTCTTACTTTAGACGCAATAAGCAAGAGAAGCTTACCTCATAAATAGAGGGAAAACCATGTTTATCGAAGATATGATAAAGTTTTATTCTCAGCCTTGTTTCCACGCAGGGCGTTTGACGTCGTTTTTTAAATTCCCCGTAAAACGCCTCCGTGCGGGTTGCAACAGTGGCAACATCATTTTTATTGTTGTTTTAGGTTCCCTAAACACAACTAGCGTCGTTGCTTGCTTTCTTACGTGATATTTCAACAGATGCTACCAGAGTATCAATGCTTTTTCAAACCTGAGAAAGATAAAAAACGTTCGCTCTCACATAACATAACTTAAGGTTATAGAAACTTTATTTTAATTCAAATTTAAGTTAAGTTTTAAATTTAACAGGGAAACTCGATTAGCTGGAGAAACCACCCTTCAAGTCTCTTCCACATCCCCTGCTTTCACATGCCTACGATCAGTATGGTGACGTTACTAAACGACAGGGTGGAATGGCAATTTGACCATGAACTTTAATTCCGTGAAAGTTATGATTACTTTAACGGAGGTCGGGAGCAAACCCTTCCAGGAAAATGTGACATCGTAGCTAGAAAATTCGTCTATAACACGCAAATCACAAATCAAAACCAGCCAGTGTGTGAGCATTGTGTTCTGAATATGGTAGCTCAGCAAGACTCCATCATTCCCCGGTAATTGCATAATTCCATAGAACTGTTACTGTTGTTACCTTTGATGCTACCATAAAATCCAATGATTATTGCATTCACTTAAATCCAAAGCTCGAATTTTTGTCCTGTAGTCTTTTCTGCTTTTTTTTCAAAGTTTTTATCCGCTAACTCAGACTTCAAAGGCGCAGCTAAACTGAAGCGAGGTCGGTTGAATCTGGGATGTAAAAACTTGTAATACACAGTCATCATAATTAATCCAACAACGAAAAACATGTATATCAAAATAAATCCTGCCATCTCTATTTCCCTTGGCAAATGGCTTGTGCTGTTTGTGTACCATAAAACAGAGAAAACCACATTCTCAAGAAACGTCAAAATGTAGTACTTGACAGCCCAGCGATAAGTACGGACACCCTCCAAGCAAAAGAAACAAAACAGATGGATGTAAGACATAACAGCGCGAAAAAAGTGTTGTTTCAAGTTGTTTCCTGGAAAGAAAGAAACCTCTTGGCGGGTAAGAAATGAAAGAACAATAAAGAAGTGAAGAAACAGGACAAGAAAAAACCAAATTTTGAATTCGGTTGCAAAGAAAACCAGGGCTAATATTCGCGAGATAATCATGAAACCTCGCCACAACCACATTGAAAGGTATCCGTACCAGCGGAGTTGTCCCTTGTGGCTTTTTGAGTCACGCAGGCAGCTTATATAGTTCACTACAGCTCTGGAGTATGAAATAAAAGAAAAGCAAATGGAGAGAATTGTCCATAAGTCTTGTATTCTTGTTGCTTTTAACTGTTCGACGTATCGGCGCGAGATCAGCACATACATTTGCAACACGAGCTGTGGGGCATCTTCTGTAAAGGCCAGGATCATTTGCAGTAGCCCTAAATCCAGGTTCATTGCTATCAGTAGCTTGTTGTCAACAACCCGGGTTGCCTTCTTGCGTTTTATTCGGTAGGATTTTACAAGAACTCTCCAGTACCTGTGGGGAGTGGGTAAAGGACAAAAGATGACCATCTCGTTCTCAAGGCTTGTGATGAATCATTATGGAAGCCAAAATATCAAAAATCTTTTCTATTTATTTGACTTCTCCTCAAGCTGTTAATGAAACGCGTAACGGTGTAATGAAATTCTGAAGATTTTTCTTGTTAACTTTGCATATTTTTAAACCTACGTTTTTAAAGTTGAATTGGTTTAAAAATATGGGTAAATGTTTTACGGTGTTTCGATACAGTATTCGGACACCATACCGATATTTTTCAATCGTGTTAAAAGTGATTTTATTCTTGTCCGATCGCCATAAAATTTTCACAGTGATTGACTATGAATTGAAGTTTCTCAAAATGCAGTTTTTAGTAAAATCGATATCACTATGACAACAATAGACAAAAGGCTTTGAAATCAATAAAAGCCGAATTTTGGGCGATCTAGACCTGCTGCTGAAAAGCCGACACCAGGAACTTAGGGCCTGTTTACATGGAGTTGGGGGACCCCAGGTAGGTGAGGTAACCCGCTTTGGTGTGTAACCCGCCTGTCCATATAATCTCTCATTTTAATTTGATCACGTTTACATGATAGGTGAGTGACCCACCGCAAGTTACCTCACCTATCTGGGGTCCCCCACCTCCATGTAAACAGGCCCTTAAAATGTGGTGTTTAGCAAATAACAATACATACCTCCATTACTGGTACATTTCAGTGTGAATTTTATTGCATCTTTTGGATATAAAACATTGCTAATATTCACACTGAAATGTACGTCATGGAGGTATGTATGGTGGGCATTAATTTTCTGACATTATTATATACATCGTGAAGATTATGTTATGAGGTTTAAATAAAATTCAGTCAAGCCGTCATAGAGATATACCAAGCGCTAAAAGTCAAAACTTAGAATAAATATGCACTTAGCCATGTGGCGAGAAAACAGGTTCGTTTTCAGGATCACAAGAAAGAAAAAACACCAAAGTTTTCTGGCATCGACATATGATATTAAGCAGCATTCTGACGCTACTTAAAAGTAATTTGAGTTCTTTGGGACTTTTTTGTCAAACATTTTATAACGGCGATTAAAAATGTAAGGTTTGAAATATATTTACGTTTTATTTGAATTCAAACATACATAATTTTTTACTTCTCACGGAAGTATTTGCTAAACACCACACTTTAAGTTTCTGGTGTCAGCTGTACAGTAGCAGGTCTAGATTGCGCAAAATTCGGCTTTTATCGATTTCAAAACTTTTTGTTTATTGTTGTCATCGATTTTACCCTTCTAAAAACTGCATTTTGACAAACTTCAATTCATAGTCAATCACTGGTGAAATTTTTATAGCGATCAGACAAGGATAAAATCACTTTTACGGCGACTGGAAAATATCGATATGGTCTCCGAATACTGTATCGAAACATCTTTTCATTTTTGTGATGCAGTGTTCTCCCATCCAAATTGATTAGAAATGTTATTTTTGGGTGGGGCTTGTAACACTTAGCAATTATTATTACTCCCCTAATTTGCAATTATTATTAGTATATATTAATTAATAAAAGCCTTTATAGTGCGCTTCTCGCTGCTCGCCGCTTCAGCCTGCGGCTGACACAGAAGCATCCCACCACCACACAGGAGAAAAAACAAATTTGGTACTCATGACAACCTTAATTTTAAAAGCAATTTGCACTAATACTAGAAGGTCCTTAAAAATAGCAACAACAGCAACACGAACTTTCTACGCGTCCATGTCTCCCTTGACAGAGTACAAAACAGGCTACTTTCGATGTGCGCGTCACGTAATGCGTTGCGTGACGGGTGCAATGCGAACCCATTTTCTCTGCAGAAAACAAACGCAACAAAAGTTGCTGACTAGTTTTGAATGCAACTCACCTTTCTACAAGTCCGACAAGGAGCACATGGGTCAAACACACAGCCCTCCATCCACTTTTCGGCGGCCTTCCTAATTCAGCATCCTCTTTGTACCAGAGGAAGGAAACTAAATTTGTAACCGCTGAAGGCAAAAAAACCAACAACAGAGTAAAACTGCCCCACCAGAAGTTGTTTCCGTTGGCAAAATGGTCCGCTGCAACTTTGAGATCGGTACCGATGTCTGCAAAGAACGCTATAATCGCCACAATAGTGAATAACATTGTAAGCCATGTTGCGTGACCGCGTTTCCGCCACAGCTCGGAGGAATTTTTGTCCATTTCACGTGGCCGCATTTTTAGGTTATTAATCACCAAATAAACAGCTTGTCTAAACCGATCTCGGGGCGGCAAATTTCTAAGTTTACTCCTATAACTGGTGTTATTTTTTGGTAAGCTTCCATTCGTATGATTAGACTTGTTTAACTTGTTTAGCTCGGTATATTCTTCAGGTTTCGCACCTAGCCAACTGACATTTTGAGCGACAATTACGCTTTCACTCTTCTTTGTCAAAGCGATACTAAATCCGTAATTCTTGTATTTGTTTTTATAATCACTCAAAAACAGGGACTCGTTGAGTAAATGCCCATTACTGTGGGGTATTGAGGTGGCTTTCGCTTCATCTTCTTCATCAAGCTCGAGACAAACTTGCTCAAGCGTTCGAACATCCTCCTTCGTTACACGAACATAAAATCGTCCAGGATTTACAAAAGTTCCACTTCCAAGGCTTGATGAAAGATAACTCTCCACTGACCAGTTTCTCTGTAGCCTTTTTCCGTCGACTGCATCAATAATCGGCTCTGAATCTCCTTTATAATTCTTCAATGTGTCTACGACATCCTGAAGAAGGCGAAGTTCTTCTTCGCTTAGTTTTGTGACGATATGGTCGCTACCTTGTGTCGTCGTACCGCTAGCGGAATGAGAAGACATCTGACTCTTTAGAGCCCTTACCGTCTGCTTCTGATGCTCATTCAGATTAAGGCCTGGCCGTTTAGAACGTCTTTGATCCATTTTACAACCTGCCAATACCCCGTCGAAAGCGAAAGGGTCAATATTGTAACGGCTGAATGACGATGCAAAGTATGCATATGCATGACAATCATTTACACGTTCGTGTACTAGTCACCACCTAACCACATTTTTGCACGTATTTGGAAAATATTGTTGTATTTTTAGATCCTAAGTGTATTTTACCTATGGCTAGTTAAGGTATTAGATCTGCTATAAACCGTTCAGAAAATTGATATCCGAGGTGTCAATTTCCCGATTTATATCACAGGCTCAAAAATTCAATATTCCATATTTCTGACTTTCTCTCGATATCTAGGAATAAAAAAAAAATGGAACTGACTTATAATTAGTTTATCAATTTACCTTTAAATTCCCGGCAGTAACCAGTAAATTTTTCCTGAGATAAAGAGGGGCAATTTTTTTTGTAATGCCACATAACTTCAGGCTTCCGCCAAAATTCCAAAATATTCCGGCAATTGCCGGGAATTTAATACATTTTTCCTTAACATTATGTGAATAAACCTGGCAAGTTTCAGCGCTTTATTATAAATCCTCATATTTTTACATCAATTTGTTTTCAGTGCGGTCCAACGCAGCCGCAAAATTGCCCTTACTCCCTGTTCTCTTCGTCGCCATCTTGAATTCTTGCGAGCAAACCGCTGCTCTTAATGTTGGTTGTGACACTTCCCGATTGAAGCACGGAAAGTGGCGAGGAAATGCGAAAATCTTCGTTCGAACTCGTCACATGAACAGAGGCGGATCCAGGATTTTTTCAAAGAGGGGGTTGTAATGAGAGTGCAGGGCAAACGTCCCAGGGCCAAAGGAATGAGGGAGGGGGAGGGGGTAATGTTTAAATATGTAGATTTTCTTCATTTTGACTTCAGAGGTATAAATTTATCAAATTTGAGACACTAAGGAATAAGGGTACAGTGCAAGAATGTTTTAGCCAGTAGGGAGTCCAGCTATCCTATGAACACCCATTTTTGGAAGAAATACAAGAAAAATTCACTTAATCTCTTGTAATTGTATGGGAAAATATGCCTTCTAGATGGCCAGTTTCAATGTCTGGCTAAAAGGCTACAGTGCATGCGCAACAACGATAGTTGTTTGTCTCTTGTTTACCCACCTATTTAATCAAACGGACTAGCTTAAAAGCACCTTCTTGGATGAGCCTTTACAAAGGCTTAGTGGTATATCTCGACTACCTCTACCTCGAATCTCTTGGAGTAGTGCATGGCGATCAATGCGAGATGAGAGAATCGCCCTTCAGGCGTTGCTGACCTAGAGGTCTTGATTCATTTCATCCGTGAAAATGATCGCTCAACCTCTGCGCTTGTGATCGGTAGGGTGTAGGCAATGACCAAAAGACGATAGATGTTTGGGAAAGCATCTTCATCGCAAGCTCCCTATCTGTTGACTGCCAGAGTGTTTTCCATCCAAGTACCTCATTTCCAAGGGATTTGGGAAATGGAATCTCCCAGAACAGCATGCCTCCTACTTCGTCATCCAGCTGCAGTGCCTGATATACTATAATCGATTCCACTAGACCAAGCAAATTGCAGGCGTGGAGATCTTGGTCAAAAATCGGTCTTACATTTGGATGATTAAGGAGTCAAGAAGAGGAATAGCTACAGTCTTCTTGTAATGATCGATTGGACTGAAACCCATATTATAACTCACAATATTATGTTTGGTATGAAAAAGGGATAGACATGAATAGCCAGACAAGTTTGAAAACTTCCCAAAGGGAGGGTTGCAACCCCCTCAACCCTCCCCCTGGATCCGCCGCCACTGATGAAGTGCACTCAACAATGTTTTAGCCTTTTTTAGCCTTAGCAACGTGCCGATTTGCATAATGGGTCATTTGACTACGGTCTTATCTGTCATCGACCTTGCAAGGATCATATACCTAATGTGTCTCTAGAAAGCCTTTTACAGCCATAGAAGGGATTTACAGTGAAACCACTATTAAGCGGACCCCCAATTAAGCGGACACCCTCTATTAAGCGGACACTAAGCCAGGTCCCGAAATCAACGTCTTATATTTCCCTTTCTAACTAACCCCTATTCAGCGGACACCTCTATTAAGTGGACGCGGACGCCGTGACTAAAATAAGTTGTATCTGGCTAATTTCTATTGTTAAAAACTTCTATCAAGCGGACACTGAACTGAATTGACACTAGTCCCGGAGTAGTCAATCGATAAAACTGATCGGTATCGATAATCGATTGATAACGGAAATCGGTGGAAATCGACAAACTAAATTGCTGTGTCAGATCAATAGTATCGATTTTTCATGATATTTCATGATTTTTCATGATTTATAACGGCAAGTCCGACGTTGTTGTTTTATGGCATACGTTAATTATTACAGCTAAGAAAACACATCAACAAGTAACAACTGATCAACAAACATGAAAATAAAAAATGTGGAAACTATATTACAGACACAAGATTCAGTCTCTCTAAAACCGTGATCCTTTTGTACATAATAACAAAAACGGTTCGGTTTAATTACATTCGCAGTTCTCGCAGGCAAGTACCACGAGAAATACAATTAGAAAAAAGATTTACCAGCCTGAATTTCAGACATCCTCTAGAGTCAAAGGAATGCCCGAAATTTAGGCTAAAAGATTTCCCTAGATAGCTTTTCACCGTCTCCGTTAGTACTCGATAAAATCACTTGATCACTAACGATTTTTCTCGATTTCGATTTGTCTACTGACTACTCCGGCAAGTAACTACACGCGAAACTGATGTTATTTTGAAAGGATAGCAGATCTAAATCGTGAAAAAACGTGGCGCCTACAAACCTGGCCAGTATCGGCCGTCAGAAGAAGACTTTAAAGCGGGTTTTAAAGAGATTGGCCAGTCTCTAGATAAGGATAAGGGCCTCAGCAGTCGGACATTGTGTATTTGGATCTCGCAAAGGCTTTCGACAGTGTCTCCCACCAAAGGCTGCTTCTGAAACTCTCCCAATACGGAGTCAGCGGGAAACTTCTGCAGTGGTTCGAGAGCTATCTAGGCCAACGCGGTCAGCAATGCTGGGTCCACGGTTTCGTTTCTAGTCGTTCTCCAGTTCCATCAGGAGTCCCTCAGGGCAGTATCCTCGGTCCTCTGCTGTTTTTAGTTTATGTGAACGATCTCCCGCCGGTGATATAAAATCGTATCGCACTCTTCGCTGGTGACTCAAAATGTTCCAGTATCATTGATAGTCTACAAGATTGTGAGTCACTCCAAAAGGACCTGGACAGTCTGCATTGCTGGAGCGATAATTGGCACCTAACCGTCACACGTAAGCGCCACCCATTTCGCTACGATTACAAGTTGAACAACAACTCACTTAAACATGTCACTCAAGTAAAAGACCTCGGAGTGACATCTCGCCGGGCCTCACATGGGACACTCACATTAACACTATCTTAGCTAAGGCAAATAGGATACTCGCATTTTTGCGCCGCAATAGTGTTATGTCATTCACTATTTTTTATTTCAAGTTTCGCCCTGGACACTTACATCTTACCCATAGATGATTATGTCAAGCCTAAAGGCACTCGTCTCACTCGCCACAGCTCTAATCAAGACGTAGTAATTCCCAAGTGCCTTACAAAGCTCTTTCAATTTAGTTACTTTAATCGTATTGCTAAACTCAAATACGTTACCTGAATCCACTCGTACTCTTAGTTCTCTTAATCAGTTTAAATCTCACATACTCCAACGCTATTCGGCTGCTTTTCGTACAAACTATGACGTCACTAACTTCAACACCTGGAAGTCGATCTGCTGCAAATGCAGTAGGTCACGTAATCTTCTACTTGCTGGCAACTGCTTTTACTGCCTGAGACTTTTTATCGGCAGTGGGAGGGATTCACTCTTATCTTTTTTACAAATAGGATTTTTATACTTTTTATAATGTTTTTATGTTTACATACTTAGTATTTGTGTATTTTCCGTAAGGGCACACTTAATTTGGAGCCTCGCTCTGTTGTGTGTCCCGCACCTTCGTCCCTCGTTTTTGTGTCTTGTTCAAATGTTTTTTTTTCCCTAGTCTTTTTTAGCATTGTAATCATGGTGAAAGAGGTTAAATAAAAGATAAGATTTTTTTAAACTTTTAATTAAAAAAGTGATAATAAAGTCAATAAATTGTTTGATCCTTCGACCCTCAATTGCACCTCTATTGACAACAAATTCACTGTTTGCATGAAATCATTCTTCATTTTGGGATGAACAGAATAAAAATCGATGGAATCGGTAAAATCTAGATAAATCGATAAACGAAACGAGTGTGTCATCGATTTCTACGATATCAATCAAATCAGATTTACCGATTTTTATCAATTTATCGATTGATAAATCGATACCGATTTTTATCGGTTGACTACTCCGGGCAATAGAAGTATTGGATTACGTCCTTGAAATACCGACCGAAGTCAGTTAATGTTTTTGCATTTACAAACAAATTAAATTTGGTAAGAAAGGTAATGAACTTGAACTCTGCATAGCTTCTTTAACAACATGCGACTTTATCACAGTATAGAGTTGAATGTTGATCGTTAATAAACATTGTGCAATTTTTACAACCTGTATTAAGCGGACACCCTCTATTAAGCGGACACTTGGGAAGGTCCCGAAGGTGTCCGCTTAATTGAAGTTTCACTGTATTAATATTTCCAAAATAGCGCTCTTAGATACCAACTTTGGCCTTCGTTTTCTCGGCTTCTATTTAACGAAAATGCTATTTGATAAGCGATTTTATTAGCACGATCATATTTTGACTTTATAGCAGTTCTAATACCTTAAAACCCGCCAGACCCCATGTACGCTATGTACTACGAGGGGTGGCTTAGATTTATATTAATACAAGTATCAACATGCATTCAAAAACTTCATAAATTTCAAGTTTGTAAACAATTACTGTTTGTACCTCTGTAAAACATATTAGCACTGATCAGAAGCCGATTGTTATGGTCGTTAAATAGACAGAAATGTTTTTCACATA